CTGTACTATTCTATGCCTAGATATGTTTAGATACACAAATACCACTGTGTTACAACTGCCTATGGTATTCAGTATAGTAACCTACTGTACAGGTTTGTAGCTTAGGAACCATAGGCTATACCATGTAGCCTAGATGTGTAGTAGGCTATATACCATCCTGGTTTGTATAAGTACACTCTATGATGTTCGCACAACGATGAAAATATCGTAACAATGCATTTCTCAGAACATATCCCTGTTGTTAAGCAAGGTGTGACTGTACTAAAATTATTCGATGAGTGAATTTTGTGGTATTGAAAGCATAATAGTAAAGTTGTTTTAAAAAGGAAAAAGAAAGTATGAAACAAAATTGTGTGCAATGGATGCAGCAGCCCAGATGGTGTACTATAATGAGAGGCCCTCATTGTGCCTACAGAAGATTGCATGTGTTTTCTCCAAGTGAGGGGCAAGGTCGTGGAATACAGAGGTGTCGTTGGAGTCAAAGGCATTTGAACAGTGTCAGTTTTTCCCAGGATAAGCCCTTCCTGAGCTTACGCCTTTCCTTCTTAATGCTTCTGTCCTGTTTTCTGTGAAATAGAGGATGTAGCTAACTAGAGTTCAAGAGTATTGTTTAAAATTTCTCCATATAGAGTGGGCACCATTCTCAAAAAGAAGAAACACCAAATCAGTGGTCTGCCTTGTTACCAGCCTATTGCAAAGTCTAACAAAACCAAACTGTGCCAATCAAACCCATGATCTTACTTCATAGCTCCTAAGGCTAAATAATAACCTTAAAATCCATATTTTAATGCCTTACAGTGACTATGCAGAATTAATATGATAAAATGTTTTTCCAAGCATTGATGGGAATTGCATGTGTGAATCTTATTAAAGGAACTGTCAAAATGGACAGAATGCACATTTCGCCAAGCATCCAATGAAGACAGCAGGGTCTAATTTTAAAACAATAAAAACCTCATGTCTCCAACAAAAAGGCTTAACTATCGGGCAATCAAACTATGAACAGAGAAGGGGAGGGGTGAGTGTGTGTGTTGAGTGAGGGGTCCCCCTGGAACAAACACAGAATGTATGGCCACAGGTACAGCATCAGTCTGCTTTCTTCAACGTGGAGCTGACCCTACACACAGAATAGGTAAGAATAGAGTGAAGCAAGTAGAACAAAAGAAACATGGGTCTTTCTGGAGCTCCTAAGATAAAAGCACAGCTGCCGGATGCACTTACACAGGAGACATACAACCACACCAAAACCTGCACATGAATGTTTATAGTGGCTTTATTCATAATTGCCAAAACTTGGAAGCAACTAAGATGTCCTTCGGTAGGTGAATGGACATACCCAGACAATGGATGTACCTTTGGAAAAAGAGTCTTTTTTTTTAAACTACATCAGTCCTGGGAGAAGCCCCCCACCCACAGCACTCCCAGCCTCTCTTCTTGTGGTGGTCAGCACACTGACAGGCAGAGCTGGGGTAAAGGTTATCTGATTGAAACAGAGACCACATATCACTCGGTCAAGAAATTAAAAACAGAAAACCCACAGACATTCATTCATTTATTGCCTCAATGCAAGACCTACTTAGTGAGCAAGTGAGCATTCTGTGTGTACAGGACCCTGAGGTTTTGCTTTTTGCATGGGAGGTTTGCTGCTATATCACACTTTCCACGTGTGGTTCCATTACCGGCAGAGACTTTCCATTGTAACTTGTAATGGAAGTTAAAGGTGCAATCTAAGGCCCAAGGAGGGGATTTTTCCTCCTCATCTGCTATCATTGATCTCTAGGTGATGGAAGGGATGACCTTTTACCCTGCTCTAACTAATCCACTACTGTATATCCATCAGTCTTGTCACAGAAAGGCAGCCTGGGGAAGACAATGCATCCATCTACTATTCCAGTAGGTGGCACCCTCCCCTCTCCATCAGCATCATCTTTCCACTGACGACCAGGGCTGCAATCTCTTACCCTGTCAACTTACCCAGCAAATTAAACAGCTGAAAGCCATGCCTCTCTGAAGGCTAGGGGTAGTCTTAGGGTGTTTCGAAGAAACAGATAAAAAGTTTAGCCCTTTTCTTCTGTGTAAAAATTTAGTGTGTAGTCCAATCCTGTCCTTATATTTGTAGATGAATTTAGTTTGAAGACTGGATTCTAACATTGCAAATATTTTCAGGACACTAAAACTGCTAAATTTGTCTCCTTATTAAAGTTGTCCTGTTTGAATTCACATCAGCTACTTCTTTGAGGGGAAGGGTGGTGTCGTGGCTAAGAGCACCAGAACCAGACTTCCCAGGTTCAGATTTGACCACTCCTGAACTGAGAATTTTGCATTTTCCGCAAATTGTTCAAGAGAGGAGTTTTCTCATCTGTAAAATAGAGGTGATGATTAACAGGGGTGACAGTTAATATGGATGAAGCACTGAACACAGTATCTGGTGTATAATAAGACAATGTTAGCTATCACCTGCAGATACTTAACGGCTTTTTAATATGTACCTTTATGTCCTGTCCTGCCCATCCATCCTCAAAGGGACTTGAAGAAAAGGATCACATCTCCTCCAACAAACTGGGCTAGGTCCCAGGGTCTGCCTTCTCTATTCTCCCAGACACCCTGCCCAGGATTCTGTGATCAACAAGGGGAACTGCAAACATGTCCTTGAGTTCCAATTAACATCCATCTAAAATTCCTCTGCCTCCTCACTTAGAGTCCCAGGTCTGGAGTCACGAAGCCCCCACTTCCCACCACTTCAGACTCACCATTGGGGCAGCCCGGTGGCGCAGGGGTTAAGTTCACACATTCTGCTTCCATGGCTGGGGTTTGTCAGTTCGGATCCCCGGTGAGGACCCACGCACCACTTGTCAAGCCATGCTGTGGCAACCATCCCACATGAAATAGAGGAGGATGGGCACAGATGTTAGCTCAGGGCTAATCTTCCTCAAAAGAAAAGGACTCACGATCTACCCAGCATCTGAGTCCATCATATTTAAAGCTTGGATATCATTCTTGGGGCAAATTGGCTGCTTTTGGGAAATTGGGGAAGAAGGGTGGGGAGAGACAACTGAATCACAGTCAATGACAGTATCAGGGGCCCGAGCACACCTGCATATATACATACTAGACATTTGAGTTTCTAGCCAGAGAAGGGAGATATACCTTTACAAAACATATTGATTTGTAGAAGGATGGGCGGGGTGGGGGGATGGTGGGTGGGTAATGAGAAAGGAGGCAGGAAGTAGGCAACCATGAGAGATGTATTGTAGGAGGGAACAGGGAGAGAAACTAAGGTTCACAGAGCACCCACTCCGTGTCAGGAGTACAGGAATGTCATCTCATTTAATTCTCACGAGATTGTGAGGTGGATCTCGAGTCCCAAAGCAATGCCCACAGGCTCCATCTCCCCATGGATTGGTTAATCTGACTCTCACCAACCAAAAGGATTGAATCTTGGTTTCTGGCTCTTGTTGAAAAATGAGAGACAGGTAAGGCCAGGCTGACACCGAGCCTGGCTGCTTCTCTAGACCCCACACATGCTCCTTGGTGCAGCAGTGTTTCCCCCGCCTCCCCCCATGATTGCAAGCTCTGCCTCCCTCCTGTGTGTTTCCTGCCAGGCTCCTCTGCACATTTGAGTTGTGCATATTATTCTTCTTCTCTTGTAGTGATGAGTAATTGAAGCTCTGGGCAGTTAAGTCACTTTCCCACGGTTGCCTAACTGAAAGAGAAGGAGCTAGCATTGGAATTCTGGTCCATTTCCTTCCAAGTTCACGCTCTTTATGCTCCATCAATCCTCATAGAGGAGATTTATACAGAATACAAATATCATTCAGAACATCATATGCTCATGGAGAGAAGTACTGTAAGAAAGAGCCCTGCGAGACCTGGCTTCAATTTGTAGCTATAGTACTTGCTGAGTGTCAAGCTCTGGGCACATCACTTCTTGTCACTTCTCTGGACTTCAGATAGCTCATCTCTAAAATGGGGATGACCAGGCCTACTTCGCAAGGTTCATCTGAAGATTGAAAGAGATGCTTGGGAAGCCCTTGGTACCATGGCAAGCTCTACACCTCTGAGGGATTGGTAGGCCAGCCGCAAGACGGAGGGCTGGCGGATTTGCAGGAACGTCGGGAAGGACTGATTTGAGCCAGACCTCAGGCCTTGGCTAACAGGTCTAAACATGACAGGATTGGCCCAGCCTGGTTATTCCTGGGTGAAGGGTAAGTTGTGCACAGTTTAAAGGTACTTGAGGGAAATCAGAGACGACTTCTACTTGTAGGTACCAAGGATTCTAGTGACGGTGGTTGGACTTCTAACTGCTCAGGTTACCGTCGCGCAGCCTCCTGCCCCACTCCCTCCTGCGAGTCCGCCCTTCCCGTGCCCGCGCCCCTCGCCCCAGCGGCTCCGCGGGGCCCCGCCCCACCCCTCCCTTCCTCCCCCCCCCTCCCCTCCCGGCCGGGCCCGCCCTGCTTCCTCCCGGGCCGGGCTGCACGCTCCGGGCTCCGAGGCCGAGAGCCTCGGCCCCTGCTCGCCGCCGCTGGCCCCTGCCCCGGAGTAGCCGCGCGCCAGCGGAGTCCCGCGCGGAGCCACATGTGAGTCCCGGAGGGAGGGGGGAGGGGGGAGGGCGCCCTGCGGCTGTCGGGCTGGAGCTAGGTGACCAGGAGCGCAGGTCGGCTTGTCCCGTTGACTTTGAAACCGAAAGCGCCGCGGCGGCACGAGCCCCGAAGCCGCCTCCCCGCGCCCCGCGCCGGCCTGCAGGGACCCTGCCGGGCCGCCCGTGCCCCTCGCGTCTGGCGAGTCCCCCCGGCGCGGGCAGGGCGCGAGGCGGCGGCCGGGGGGGGCCGGGGCCGCAGGAGGCCGGCGGCACAGGTGGCCGCCGATGCGGGCGAGCGAGCGCGCTGTGGGGGCAGCTGGGCTCCGGGCCTGGGGCGCGTTGCCTTAGCAGGGGAGAGGTGCGGCGAGGGCGGCGGCGGCTGGGGGCCCCGAGCGGGGAGCTGCTCCTGAGCGCGCTGGTGGACTGGAGCGGCCAGGTTCAGAATGGGGTGCCCCGCAATCCCGCACTGCAAACCTCTGGCTCCCGCTCCGTACCCTTAGGCACCCGTGCACTTGTGCAAGACTTTCCCGCCAGAGCCCTCTAGAACGCAACTTCAACATTGGAATGAATGGAAACCTCCAAGAAACGTTCAATTGAGCGCGCTCATTGAGAAACACAACCCTCCCCCTCCCCCGCCAGGTGAGCTCCAAGGGATCTTGGAGGAGACCAGGGCTCAGAGAGGCGAAGTGAGTCGCCCAGGGACGCCCGGTGAATTAGTGGAATCTGGGCGCTCCACACCAGATTGTCTCCTCCTTGTTACTTACTGCTCGTCAGGGTTTTCGCAGTTCTGAGAATTTTCAGTGAATACAGGGGCCACACTCTTGCTGCTAACCCCGCTGGGCGGTTACGCTGACTTTCTGGCTGGTTCTGCCCCCTCCTGCAGAGTTTCCATATTTGGCTATTTCAGATTTACTTTCATCAGAACTCAGTTACCTCGCTGTGGCTGGCAGGGCTGCTCTAGGCCACCGACCCAGTGAGGTTGGTGAAATGAGGCGTGGCTCCCCGGCCAGGCTGCCCCCTGCACACCCCACCCTTCACAGCCCTGGGCGCTGACCCGTGTCGTGTGAGGACAGGCGTCTGGTACCCAGTTGAATTCAGTAAATATTTATTGGGCACAGGTGCTGCGTGAGAACTGGGCTAGGGCCAGTGGAATATGGTTCCTTCCTTCAGAGGTATTTGCATTTCACACGGGCTCTGGAAGACATAAAATGCAAAGACATCGCTTGAAGTACTTCTGGGAATAGAACAGTTCTGGGTGTGTGAGAGAGAATTTTAGACAGAGAAAGGCTGGGCTAGGACTTCTCAGATCCAGAGGGCAGCTACCTGCTCTGCCTTATACACGCACAGCCGAAGACGAGGTCTTAGCACAATTGATGGTTAGGGTGAAAACCTTATCATCTGAACACTCCCACCCCCAACTCTACTCTTAATTTGAATGAGAGAGAGAGAGAGAGAGAGAAATTGCTGCAGAAAAGACGGATGTGAGAGGGAAGCTGAAAATATCTAGCTTCTATAAAGGGTTGTTGTTGTTTTGTTTTGAACTCTCTGGAATGGATTGGCTCTCAGATCCTGGAATCTCTGTCCCTGGGTCCTGGACATAGGCAGGAGGAAGTCAGCTGTCTGAGCTGGCTTCTGTCTGAAGGACTCTGAGCAGTCCTGCCAGAGGAGAGGTGACTTTCTCAGGTCCTCTGGGCCGAGGTGTGTGGCAGTGGGGGTAGGATGGGCCGTGTGTCTGTCTGTCAGCAAGCATCACCTGAGTGTCCACTGGCTGTGGGCAGCAGGGTGGTGGAAAGAAGATGAGGCCCCGTCCCCTGGAAGTACTAACTGTAGCGATTGGGACATTTCAATGGAGATGATTTGCAGGGAGAGGGAACCGGATGCCTCTGAGTCAGTGCTGCTAGGCTAGCCATGGGAAAGGCTTGTCAGCAATTCGACCAACAGCCCTTCTGTAATTATCTCAGCTTTACCTGGGAGGACCCCACGGAAAAAATAATAATTCCTTGTTGCTAAAGCTCTTTCCTTTTCAAAGCGTCTTCTTATTGCTCTTGTCATTTCGTTCTCGTTTGGTCCTCTGTGGTGCCCTTGTGAGTCAGGCCAAAGCAGGATTCTTCTCGATGAGGTGAAGCACTGAGCGTATGATAGCCCTTGAGGCTCCATGGCTGGGCCAGGCCTGGGTCTCTGGTTCCTCTGCTGTAGGCCCCTCACCATGGTTTCTCAGAACGCTGAATCTGAGGGGTTAGCAAGGAAACTCAGGCTCTGATCGTGCCTGGATGGTCTGTTCCCAACAACATGGAGGAAGTTCTCCTGGCCACTGCATGAACAGACGCCCGCTCTCTTAGCTTTCCCCAGCTGCACGAACTCAGGGCAAAACCTGTGTCTGTTCTTGTTTGTATCTGGGAATCTGGCACAGAGTAGGCCTACAAAAACCTTGCGTTGAGTTCATTTGAGATGTGTCACCCTTGAGCTCTGAGCTGCCAGGGACCGATGGGTGGGGAACGTGTGCTGGGCCGGGCTCTGGAGAGAGGTTGAGCTGCCAGCAGGACTTGGCTCCAATCCCAGAAATCAGAATAGCGCTGTGCAGTTTACAAACAGCCTGTCTCACCTGATGGACTTGTCCCTGCCTCCAGAGAGAAGGGAGAGGCAGGTGCTGTTCCTTCCCTGTTACCTGGTTGCAAGCTGGGGCTCAGAAGGGACTTGAAAGATCTCACGGCACGTAGGGACCAGCCAGAACCACAGCCCAAGTCTTCAGACTCCAATTTGTGTGTTCTTCTCATAGTATTTCACCTAGAGGAAGCCAGGGTTCTGGGCAGGAGGAGGGTGAGGGAACCAGAACGGCATTCCTCAAAGGCTGCCTGACGCCTTTTTCACTGGTCAGGGGTCTTTAAGAGCTAAGAGGCCAGGGGAAGGGGGAGCAGTGGCAGGCCCAGTCTCTGAAGAGCTTTTCCTGCCCAGATGGTGGCTTTTTCTGAGGTCCCTATGGGACCGGGGCTCCCACTCCAGCAGAGTGTAGCGGGTGGGAATCTGTGTGTGTTGGGGGTAGAGGAGACCATGTTGTGGGGCAGAAGTGATCCCCAGGGCTGGTGAGCTCCTGCCGCTGCTGAGACCAGCATGGGGCCCGTGTGAGTTTGTTCCTTTGCCCAGAGGAAAGCTTTATTTGGAGGGTCAAACAGCAGTCAGTGGACCCATATGTCCTGGCAAGCCCTGTCTTGTGAGGAAGTAGGGTGGAGGACCAGGGAGGAAATAAAAGTGAAAATACTCATCAGTCTAGACAGAAAAACTCCAAGTCCATTTGCAGTGAAAGCGATGAGCCCATTCTGCACATTGTTATCTGGAGGCAGACGGTGGTGCAGCTTAGATCACAATGTAGCAATGTGGTGTCCATCTGAATGTCCTTGCAGGTTCTGTGGCCCTGGCGTTAAGTGACAGAGCCAGTGAGTGCCTCTCCCTGGGTTGTGAGCAGGGAGTGGGGACCCATCTCACTTACTTTCAGCAGATCCCCATGCCTCATTTCTTGTCACAGCTCCACCAACTTCCCTCCTCACCAATTCAGAACATCCCTGGAATTTCCCCCACAGCTTTTTTCTCAAGGAAGAGGTACTCTCTTGACCAATGGGGGAGCGCCTTCTCCACCTGCATGCCTGATTCAGCTCTCTCCCATCTTGGAAACAGTGCCCTCCATTACTCCCTGGCCACTGACTCCTTCCCTCCCCCACATGCTCCGTCTCTGTTTCCCCAGCCCCTCTCCTCTCCCTTTCACGGACAAGCTTCTGGAAAGAGAAGCCAACATTTGCACTCTGCGCGCTCAGCGCCATGCACCTGCCGTGCTGCTCAGATTGCCCTTTGAAGGCTTCCAGGGTCTGGTAATCCTCAGTCGTCAGCCTGCCCTGCAGCTGTTGCCCATCTCTTTGGAGGGAGCCACACCATCCCCACTGACATTCCCTTCCCCGACCTCGAGCTTCTCCTCCTCTTCCCGCCCTGCAAGTGCCAGTGGGGGGCCAAGGCTGTGTCCTCAGGCTGGCCTTCTCCATTACTGTTCTCTATGCTACTCTCCCTAGAGCTCTTCTCTGCACCCAAGGCTTAACCAACACTCTTAAGGAAAGGATGATCAAGTCTCTGTGTCTCACCCAGCTCTCTTCTTGGCCAGTTTGATTTGTGACACACAAAATCTTCACCGTGACGTTTTACTCTTCCCAGGCTGCCTCTTCCTCTCCGTTCTCCTGAACTCTTGCAGAGATCACTGCTTGCCCTTGGTCACCTCTGTCCTGTGTCCCCCCAGCTGGTCCTGATGTGCTGTCTATTCCTAAGACTGCTACTTGAGTTCGCATCCGCCTGACCTCTTTCCTGTGCTACCCTAATTGTGCATTCACTTGCTTTCCTGCACTTCTGTTTTCTCTTCCGCACTGCTGCAGAGGGGCCTTCTTAATCCATAGCCTAATCAAGACTTACCACTTTCACTAGGGGCATAGTGGAAGTAGTGTGGACTTCAGAATCTACCAGGCCTGCGTTCGAATCTGAGTTTGTGACTTGCTAGTTGTAGTTGTGTGATCTGGGCAAGTTGCTCAAATTCCATGAGCTTCTCTGGTAAACCGAGATAGTAATGTCACCCACTTGGGGTTGCCGGAAGGATTAAGTGAGCCAGTGTATACACAGAGCACAGCATCTGGTGGATACTCAGTGGCTGGTTTTCTTCTTCCATGTGTTTGTCAGCAGTAGAGAGTTGTGGGATCTCCGGGGTGGTGGAAAATGTGTGTTTAGCCTAAAGCATTCAAATTTAAATTAAAAACAGACAAGCAAAAGAACTACCACGTGCCAGGGTAGACCATCATTTAAACTAGCCTGTTGCTGCCACTTTGCAATCTGTAGACCAGGCAGACCTTGGGGGCGAGAGTAGGTGAGCTGGGATGGGGCAGGGCCTGGTGGGGATAGGCTGGGACCAGCCCTCGGCAGGCAGGGGGCAGGCAGCATCAGATAATGGAGGCCCAGCCCCAGGGGATGGGTTTCAGGGCAAGACTCCAGTCTTTAGAAGGACTTGTGGACAGAGCAGGTGCAGCCTAGGCAGAATAATAGTGCTGGGCAGGGAGGTAACACAGGGGCCCAGCAGAAGAAATAAAATTGATTTGGGAAGCAAAATACAGGCACTGGCCTGATCACCAGGAGCAGAGCAGTTAGTTTAGTGGGATCATCTACAGAGTCAGAGCAGGATGAGTGAGGATGACTCCCTGCAAAGCTGCCAGCCAGAGCCCTTTCTGTGTTCCTTTACTAAGGGGGATGGCTTGGAACAGCCAGCTGTGTTCTGACCCTTCTCTTAGAGGGCCCCTTGATGCTCGAGGATGGAGGCAGCTGAGTGGGATGAAGCTAAACGGGTCGTGAAGGTCCTTCTTCTGCCTTCATGACATTAGGATGCTGAGGAATAGGCTGGCCAGAAACTTATGATACAACCTAGGAAAATTTACCATGATTCGCTGGGTTAAAGGCAAAATTATTTAACGTAAAACGAAGGCTTAAGTGCTAAGTAGATGCAGAATAAAAGAAGTGATTAAACAGTTGGGTGGGATTATTCCAGGAAGCCCTCCTGAGGAGTGAGGAGGGGTGGACAGGAGGGATGGAAGGGCACAGTGGACTGTGGACAAAGGCATTTC